ACTGTTGCAATCATAATAATTTCTACAACATTTATCTTTTTTTGTGATTGCTTGTTGTTATTGTCATTCTACGTAAAAAAAGGTATTTACAGTTACATATTATGTTAAATGTAGGTTAACTTTTTTAATCGGAAAAGCAATGATTTGAGCATAATTACTCGAAAACTATTTGCCTCCCATGTTTGAATCATTGTTGTATTCTTTGCCAAGTAAATTTACTAATATCTAAACCATTTTCCTCTAAAGTGTTTCATAAGAACGTTGTTCGGCCTTCACCGGTCGTATCTGTTGTAACAAAAAATACTAAAAACCTTTCTTAAATACTCATGCCTGTGTTTTCTAAATTAAGATACCTCATCTAAATTGATATCTGCTCTTGATGGCTGGCATCAGGGGTACAATCAAGTAAAATAGAAGAATACTTTGCCTGGTTGACCTTATTTAAAATAATTCTCTTTATATTATCCCCTGATAAGCTAATTGTTTCATTTTGAATTTTATCTCCAAGGTAATGAGGCATATGTTTTACAGTTTGAATTTAATTAATATATACAGAAATGATAGGGTCAGATTTTGTGATCATTTCTATAACTTTTAAAATTAGTATTTCTTTCGAATAATTTGTTACTGGAACCAAGGAAGGCTAAGTTTTGTTTGGCTAAAAACTGAATGGCATAGATAATTCTTTCAATAACATCTCTCCAATGCTTAGTCCCTTTTTTTAATAAATTTTGAAATCCAAATCAACAGGTTTATTCTTTCTTAATTGTTGTAAGAAATCGGACCAAAGACGCAGATTCCAGAAATGCATTTTATTTTTTTCATGAAGTTTTAAGTGCTAAATTAAGTGGTTCTAGTCATTAAATTCAGAATGAAACTGTTAAAAATTTTGCAACAAAAATAATGAACAGATTTTTTTTTAACAGAATTAAGAAACCAGTCCCTTTTAACTCTTATGTTGTTTAGCAAGATTCGACAAAAGTATATCTAAAAAAAATTACGTCAATTTTTGTCTTTTGGGAAACTGAAACTGGAAACCAGGTTTTCATAATATCCAGGACCATTTTCTCTTAAGGCTTGAACTTAAGATTTCAGTAATGGACTTCCGCATAATCCGGAATCATCAGGCACAGGCAAATGCATATCTACTGAAGAAATTTTAGATTTCACTAGTGTTTCTTCTGTTTTTTTGACCGTCTGCATTGAAGTTAAAGGTAATTTCCGGGTGAAAACACTTTCTAATTCTTTCTGATTATTAGGTTCTTTTTGGTAATTTCAATGGTAGCTGACACGTTGATGGACAACAAGGGCTAATAGCGTCAGCATGGATATTCTCTGGGTTTTGCAAAAACTGAGTAATTTTAAAGTTCTGGTTTATTAAGTCTTCCTCTCACTTTCGTTTTCTTCATTAAATTCTGATACCCACACAGATTTTTCCGTTTTTCTTCCGACATCTGGGGACAAATGAAAACAGGAAAAGCGGAAATAAAAATAAAAGTAGAAAATAACTATTATAAGAACTATTGTGTAAAACTCTACTTCTTCGAAACACTTGGAAAGTCACTGTTTGAAATATTTTACCTTCTGAAAAACTGAGTATATCTTAAACCATTGCTTGGAAAATATATGAACTATTAGACCATACCAAATAATTCAATCTTTTGTTTAGTAACGTAAATAAATCAAATTTAAGTGTCCATTTAAGACGTGATGAAATAATGAAATATTTTCCTTTGGTTTTCTGTACCACTAAAAATTAGAAAGTGGCCAGTTTTTTACTTTAGAATACCTTGTATATTTTTACTTTATATCTCAAATAGGTATGTTTTAATTTCAGTGGCGCTCCATAAATATGTCAATCCTTTCTTCTAGAAAGATAATAATTTTTAGTTAAACAAATGGATCATGTAAAAAAAAAAAAAAAAAATTCGAGTAATTAGGCTCAAATCGTCACTTTTCTGAATTACAAAGCTATCCTAAATTTAACATAATACGTAAGTGCACTTACCTTTTTCTATGTAAAATAAAAATAACAACAAGCAATCAGCAAAAAAAATCAGAAAAAAGTTAAATGGTGCACAAATTAGTGCGATTGTAACAGTAGACACAAAATAAGGACTAAGGAATTTGTCGAACACACCTATGGTGCAGGCCTCTACCCTTGCATACACATCGGCATCACGTATTTTCGTTCACATATATTTACAAAATCAGCTCAACTTATGTCAAAAACTGCAAAAAGCATTTGCCGATAAAAATCAAACCAATATAAATTGCCAATTGAAACTCTAAGCTATATCATAGTCAACAACATTAGCCTTGTGCAGAAAAGAATTTTGGATATAGTATGTCTAGATATCAGCCCTAGAGCATCTTTTGTGTCCTGTTATAATCACAGTTTGAACCTTGTGGTAAACTATGCTGCAAACAACAATTTACTCAGTACAAACTTCTTAAATATGTAAATTAATTTGGTTTAATTTTAAGGTAAAAATTGTGTTCAGCAATATATTTGGTATCCAATGTGTTTAGTATATTATTTCGCTTCACTTACAGTGTTACTTTTGTATATCATGTTATTGTTGTTGACTAATGCTGACTTATCTGACCTACAATCAGTCCAAGCCCACGAGATTCCTTGGCGCAAGGAGCTCAAGATACATCTGTCGTTCACAACAGCCTTCAGCCCCTTACAGGTGACAAAGCGATTTAGCTCAGTTTTGCCTCCAATTTTGATGGACAGCAACCAGGGGGGAAGGGTCCAAGCATCTCGTACATCCAGTCTCCTACCACCAACCTCTCCAGAGGTCTTTCGGCTCACCGCATATTTAGAGTGCCCCCATGCCGCACAGACACTATACATTTACAAACAAATCATGCCTTCTCCGGGCCCTTCAGCACAGCAGTCAGCGATGTTAACCACTATACTGGTTGGGCGATTTTTTTATAACTTAATTATAAGTCTTCAATAAATATGTTTGAGTGTGGGATTTAACAAAGCACAAAATGTTTGCATATTTAAACAAATTAAAAGATAAAATGTAATTTTTTTGGTTTTTCATATTATTGTATTAATAATGCTTCATTTTAAGTGTTAACTATAAGCAATTTTCCTTTAATATCGTCTCTGCATGAAGGCGCTCGCTAGACATTTGCACAACGGCGCCGATTAGGCTTGGTGCGGGCCAGACTATATTAAATGTGATACCGAAGCTAAGTGTCATTGACGGGCCATTATTTCACATATATGATATGTTGAAACAGAATGTTTTATTTTAAATTTTGAACGTACACAAATTATGTCAGAATGCTGTGAAAAGTTACCGAACAGAATCTCTAGAATCCTAGAACTGTTGTGATGAATATTACTTGTCATTTTATTCCATTAAAGTTAATGCAGAACGCTAATGACAATTCCATATTTTGGAGTATCACGAATTTTAGAGCATTGATTTAAATCTAGAAAAATGACATGCAGGAATTTTAAAATTAAAAATATTAAAGCTTTAAAATGGCATTAAAGGAATCAAAACTTAAGTTGCTCTGTTTTTACGTTAATACTTTCTTTTTAATTTTATAGGTAAACAAAATTTCTGATTAATTTTACAGATAAACATAATTTCTGAAAGTTCTATTATTCAAGTCCTGCAATTGCCATGTCGAGAATTCCCCTTAAACTGGCAATAAAATTTTTTTCATTTTCAACAACCTCCCTGTCACTCTTTCCATTATTGATAGTAACATTTTTTTTTAAATTTAGAACTATGCTATATGGTACACATTTCACCATCCATTAGGTGATTCATGATTGGAGCATTGTAACTGCAATAGAAACTTCTGCTATATCATATTCATTTATTACCACTTCTCTACTTTCTCCCCAAATCCATTAACTGGAAAATTTTACTTTTCGTTTATGATATCCAAAAGCCTTCAGATTCATAGCTATCATAATGAAAGCTTAACTAGCATCTGCTATACATCACTGGCAATTTATGCACATATAAATTACAATAAATACAATTAAATGCTATACATCACTGGTAGACTGGCAACTAAACATATGTTTCATTATCTTTTGTTTTGATTCTATTCAGTACTGAAAAGTTAAGCCTGAATTAAATTAGTTTAACTATTTACTATAGTTAGATTTATCACCCGCATATATTTAAGCTTTTCTGAGTCTCAGATAAAAAAATTCTTACATAAACTATATATATAAACATGAAATCATGTATACTCAACACTTCACACCAGGGTCGGCTGAAGTCTGTTATTGTGGCTGAACATAATATTGACAACAGAAAAGGTTACCCTGTTGTCTGATACTCAATTATTAATTAATAATAAAATCATTTTTGACATCGTCACATGAGTTATTTCTCAAGCACCAATAATCATGATCTCAGAGATCAATTTTGAGGAGTTTTTAAGTACAGATGATGATGTGGCCATGTGCACTTAATTGAAATCTGATGTGCAAGCAGCTGTGTCTCAGGTGCAGTAAATGTCATTAAAAGAAAGTTAAGAGGATAATATTATTCCATACATCTGCCAGAAAATGTTACATGCTTTGGCCACTGTAGAACGTTTTTGCTGTAACATTTGAGTCGATAGATAGTTTTATGGAAGCCATGAATATGGTTCACCACGAAGTTGGTAATATGAGAGTTCATTTTTTCAAGTTACAGTACAATAGTTAATGTAGTACTGTAGTCTTTCTGTGACAATATGCATAATATATTGTAGTACTTATTTAACAATACACTATAAATGGTTAATGCATAGAAAAAATGATTTCCAAAATAACATTTGAGGCCCCAGTTAACTCAAATTTTTTTAACATGAACTCTTGATTTTCCAGTTCTTGAGATTCGTATTAATAAGGGTTCACTGTATTATTACACAACTGTTTATGATGTGATATAGATAAGCCACCATATTTGGCACACATTTAACAACTGGGTATCTATTAACATATAAATACCAGTTCTCTTTACCTCCAAAATACATTACTGTTTCAGGCACAACATCTTTAATACTGTAATTTGGATCAAGGGTCAAAGCAGATATGCTTTTAGTCATTTGAGTATCTTCATCCACTCTGACAGACAAATGAGCAGTGCCAGGATTAATTCTCATAGTTACATGATGCCACTTATCCCGATTCAAGCCTAGATGGAGAAAGAAATACTTATTAGAATATTAAACAAATCCTCTACATCAAGCTTGACACACAGACTTTCCAAAGAATCCTAAGAGTGTGCGATTTCTGCAGTGCTAAAACCATTATGTTTCGAACCACAATTATCACTAACATATCCAAAATGAAGTCAGCAACTGACCTGATTACCTGGACATATGATAAACAGAACAATTCACTTTTCTGTAAGGGTGCAGCAAATAAAATTCTCCCCTTTGTGCAAGCATATCTACTAAAGTGCTTGTTCAGTGTATCCTAAAAGAAATAGCTTTAAAGTACTAAGCAATCTAAGGGGTGTATATATATATATCTTTTCTAGGTAGTTTTCTGTTCCGCCGGCGCAAATCTCGCCAAGCAGATTTTATTGGTGACAACATACAGTACACACATAAAAAATGTTAACAAATGTTAGTTCTTAAGAATTTTTTATTTTGAAGGCATAAACATTTTAATATCGTTTAAAATTTTATATAAAGCTAATAAATAAAGACAATAAATTTGTAAAAAGACATTAATTTGAGAATTTATTATGCTTTTATATGGTTCAACATCCTGATTTGCCGGTTCATATCACGTGACCCCAAGTGATCTCACCTCATGTAAACTACGCTATGAAAATCTGATTCTCTCAGTAATTATCTACATTAATTAAGTTAAATCTTAATTTGGAATACAAGTTTAAATGAAAGAATTATTTCAATTTGTACGAACAGCTTACTCAGAAATTATGTATTGATCTAATTAATATTCACTTCCTGTGCTTTACTTCACTAGTGCATTCTCATTAGAATTGATGAATTTAACCCTTTGCCTTTTCTGTATTTCGAGTGAGCAGTGTGATTGCATCCTAATTGACTTAATTACCGTGAATGACCTTAAGGCATAAAATTGAACTATCTGGTAAAAATTCTATGTAATTGTATGCCAATATTGAAAGAAACAATCAATCTGATAAGAAACTGCTCTGACTTGTTATGAAAATGAGGTGTAAAAGGTTATCAGCGAGGATATTCATTTTGGCATCAGTTGTACCATTATTGGCCACTTTATCGTCTGCGCCGGCAAAACGGAAAAGTACCCTTTTGTCAAAAGCAAAAATTATTATTATTCAGTTAAGAGACACAAGTGCCTCTAATTTTCAACCCCCTGTGAATGACAAAATTGTATATTAAAAAATTTCAGGACACTGGACTTTAATGAACTGCACACCATAGGCTCAAAAATCATGGAGATTAGAGAATTATGCCAACTGTAGATCATACATACTTTTTTAATTCTATTTACATTTCCTCTTTTAAAATTTTACTATAAATTTGTATTACCTGAACATAAATAGGAAACTAATATAAACTTCTACATTAAGGATTATTTAAATTATTTATTATTTATCATGTTTATTAATTTTTTTAATTACAACTACATACAAAGAAAATAACATTTCTACAAGTTCAAGAGGAAAACATAATGCAGATAAAGGGATAAATAATACGGATACTTTCTGAAGGAGGAAAATTTTTTTCATAAAAGTGTATACAAGCATTTTACATAAAAAAATGCATTTCCTAAACATAAGTTATTCTCAAATAACTCTTATATTTACAATTAAGTAAAAGAATAAATAAATAACTGCTTACAACAAATACCCTAGCAATAAGAATACTCTTAAAATAAATCTTAGACTGCTATTCCCTACATGTATGACTGAATACTACTAATAATTAGTTAAAAGTAGCAGATTTGAAATTTTGGATTTATTATAAGAAAATTCCTCTATTCCGTAGTCCTTTTTCTTTACTCAATTTTCCTTTTTATGCTAGGGAAACTTGCATGAATGCTACTTTTCAAAATTTATATCTTTTCAAAAAAAAAAAAAAAAAAAAAAAAAAAAACCTCAAAACTACAGAATGTAAACAAGCTGTCTACAAACATCTTTGCAATTCATATTAACTTGAACTAAAAGTAAGACAAACCAATTTTACACATGGTGGTCATAAAAAAAACTTCACTTCCAGTTATATAGTTTCTCAAAATGTGTATATAAAAATTTTTAGCAGTCAGATTTTCAATTGCTTCCTATCTTCCTCAAAACTTAAGGGAATCACTTACAGATGGAAAAAGAAATGTTACAGTGCAATGTATAAAATGACTACATTAGTAAGCATTATCATATGAAACTGAATCTTACATTTTATGCCATATTTTCTTTCAGATGCCTTCAGATCTTCAGATTTTACATATTTTTAAATTTTTTTATTTCAAAATTATTAATTTATGAAAACAATAAGCATTTATTATTTTCACCATTAAAATATAATTAATACTCTCTTTTATACATCATTCATTACTTATTAGATGTAGTATGCCATCCCAGCAAAAATATTTCAATGAAAATACTACATACAGCAAACTTACCTTTTCCGACAAAATATGTTTCATCATGACCATCACGGAACACATGAATGATTTTTAGCTGTCCATTTTCTAGCATTAAATATAATTCATACAGTGGAAAGAGGCTTGTATCTGTAGTGGAGCCATGGAAGAGAAGGAGACCATGAGGCCGATCTGTTCTGGATTATACAAAAATAAATTAGCAAAAGAAATCTATAAAAATTATAACACTACACAATATATATAACATTTGCTTACATGACAAATTTTACAGAAGCAATCTAATTCATCGATGTGTTTTTATGTAACAATACTAAAAGGTTACTTATATAGTAATGCAACCATTTCAGTGCAATTTTTTATAGAAGAAAGTCTTATATTTGCAAAAAACTTACTTATGATACACATACCCACTTTATATTTTATATATGTATTTATCTAAAAAATCAGTCAATAAGCTTATTTACAAGTGAATATTTTTTTCATCTGTTCTAGTGAAAAATTCATGGCAATAGCTTTAATAAAGAATTCAAATGAATTATTCCCTTAAAGCGAGTTTTTAGCAAAATACTATGTCTATAACAGCTGTTTGACTAGAAAAAAAAGACTGCCGGCAGCAGTGCCTATTAAAACTGAAGAATTGTTATGAGCATGGTTACCAGAGTTTGGTGCATTTTGAAAATATGGCAACTTCTGCTGAATGCTGGACAGTCGGGCTTTTATTGTATTACAGAAACAATCCCTGAAAACTTTCTAATTTGCAAATAATGAAGTGTAATTCATCCAAAAATGTATGGAATTAAGTACTTTTGTATCATCCTACATGTAAGATATTTTTAAAAAAAATTTTAAATTATTCAGAAAAAAGTGTTGTTGTGGTTTATTATCCTCAACTGAATATATCATTTCCAAGAACTGATCATGGCCAAAAGCAAATAGTTACTGGCAAAGGTCTCTTGGGCACCCCATGGCTCGCTATGTGAGTTTGCACAGCTCCATCCCAATTTTGATAAAAATCCCAGGAGATGGATCCAAAGGTCTCTTAGCATTCACCTCTCAAGAGAACTTGTTTGTTAAAGAGAGTTTGATAGCATTTTACATACCCTCATGCTTCAACAAGGACACTATACATTTACAATAACCATGTCTTATCAGCAATTTGAAGCTGTACCCAACATTATGACAGCCAGCATTTCTACCCTTAGGCTGAATAGAATGGCTCGGAGAAAAGAGCCAGTTCACCCTTTTCTGATACTTGCTTTCCTTCAAGCATGTATTTTACAAACTTTTTAAAATTGATCCCATAAATCAGTACCTTCCTACACACTACAAATATACTAAAACATTTTATCTGGGTACTTTTATACTAACAGGAATAGCAAAATATTCTTTGTAAAAGAATAGGTAATTTTGTTAATACATTTCTCAATTTTTTCAAATCATTTATAAACATGATTAATACTATCAGTTGAAGACAAAAAATGTTCCTTTGCCTTACATATATACCAAATTATTTTGATTTTAAGGAAGACTTAATTTTACAGATTTTTAAGATATAAAGTTAATATGCAGGACAAATTCAAAGCAAATACTTTAACATGATATGTCTGCTGATCTTCCACTCACCAGTGATTGGGTCTTCAATAATTGGGGTCTTAAAAAATGACTTTATATATATATTGAAGATCGATTTCAATATTTATTATAATATCATTTGTACATTGCTATTTTTTCTATTCTCCAATTTTAAAATCCCACTTTGGCTTAAATTAACAGTATACATAGCATGCCCATTAAAGTTCTTTTGCATATTTTACGTTTTTAGAACTATAAGTCACAGACACATATTTTCAATTACAAAAGTGCTTTATAAATAAGACAAATATTTACATTTGGGCAATTTTGGTCCAAAAGAGCTTTGTTCTTGAAGGACTATTGTTTTCGTTTTGCGATTTTGCGTCAGAACTCTATAAACAGCATATCACTTTTCGAATCATTGCCACCAAATATCTGCATAAATACTTACACATTATTTCTCACATTGTGATAAAACAATGGTACCTAGAGCCATCGAATTTTGAATGACATAATCCTACTGCGAATATGGGTATTTGAAGGCCCAAATTTGAAATTTGGAATTTGTTTTATTATTGAGTTCAAATTTTGTAAAACTTTAATGAATTTTTGATTAACAAACTCAACATCTTAAAAGGGAGCGATGGCAACACTCTACAGGGGAAAAAAAAACTTTTTAACTCCAGCACGCGGAACTGTGTATTGGAAATTCTAAAGATATGCTCTTTTTAAAATTATTTTGCGACACTGCTATTAAACTGAATTTTATGGTTTTAAGTGCGCATGATATTTAATAAATAAAGGTAACACTCAAAACTTTAAAAAATGCCCCTTTGCACGTAATTTAAAATCTGAAACCTTCCACATTTTTTTATTTTTTTAAATCAATTTTGTAAATATATAATTTTTCCATACAGTTACAGCCCCATGCCATATACAGTTATGGTGAGTAAAAATTTTTACTCATTATAAAAAATATATGCCATATACAGTTATGGTGAGTAAAAGTTTTTACTCATTCTAAAAAATATAAGGTTTATGCATAAATTTCAAGTCTTAAACCACAAAAATTGATCAAGATACTTAAAGTTTGAGATCATTTATGAACATGGATTTAGGATCCTAAAGTAATAAAATTTCATGTAAATATGATACACTTGTAGCGTTTTAAAAATTATTATGAAAATGTTTTGAACATATTGAATGCAAAAAAAATTACAAATTAAAGGATGTTACTTACTTACCATATTACTAGCAAATCACAAGAGTATCACTAAAAGGCATTAAGTAGAGAAAAAAAATAACCCTGATTATTAACAATTCCCTGAAAAGAATTCATGAGCCATTGCACAATGTGAATCAAATAGGCAAACCGGTGGCCAAAATGTATTTAAGTAGAAACCCAAGTATACTTTTGTGCAGCACATGAGAGCAGATTTCCATCTTCAAACTTGACAATGAGAGCAGATTTCTATCTTCAAATTTGACAATCATTTTCTGATTAGGGTGTGTTTTGTTGCATTCCTTTTTTTCCCCTTGTAAGGAATCAAAATAGGACTGGGGTGCTTGCTGGCAAATGAAAAAGAAAATGCTGTTTCTTCAGAAATATGGTCTTTGCTTCAACAATAAGGAAAATAAAAATCTGTATTCTATGAAGGTGAACTTAACTAAAATAATAAAATTTTATGGATCAAAATTTTTACACAATACCAAATTTGTTCAAGACTCTAGTTGTTTTTTTTTTTTTTTTTTTTTTTTTTTTAAAGCTAAAACTGTCTACATGGGAAGACTAACATCAAGTCCACCACGAAATTGTGTACAATACCTTGTTTGGGCAATTCTCTGATGTTTTTGAAGCTAAAATACATTGCTGCACTTCTGATACATGTGGTACACTACAAGACATGTATGCACTATAAGAAAAAAGGTAAATGTTTTATTATTGATACATGACCGTTATCTTTTGTGTCTTGGTGAAAAATTAATTACCAGTGGTTGGCTGTTTTCAAGAGTAGGGTGTGGATAATCAGAAAGTACGGTCAATTTTTTTAACTCATCCCTCAAGAATGATAAATTCGGTGTTCTGAGACTGAAAAATCAAAAAAATTCCATATTTAGAAATTAAATATCTTAATCCCCACCCCCTATTAGTGAGCCAAAGTTTTAGTTTTAACTTTTAGAATGAGTATAAATCTTTATCAAAAATAATTAATTATACAAATTGAAAATTTTAGATTTTAAGATTGAAAATTTTAGATTTGATTCAAAAATACCATAACATGAACATTTGTTTCATTAAAAATCTATTGGTAATTGAAAGTAAATGTCTGCTACAAATGATTATGAAAATGATAATGGCTGCATAAGGATTTTTATAAGACATTCTTATATTTAAAAAATAAATTTAAAAAAAAACCACTTTTCATTAGTTATAATTTTTAAACAAGTAAACAAATACTTAATAATAAGGATATAAATAAGTTCATCCAATGAAGAATAAAAATTAAGCACTTAATTTTAAAAATGAACCTGTGTTAAAAATTTTATTGTTACTGTTAAAATACTACATAAACTTTCAAACAAATCATTATACTTTACATTATTTGACTAGATATTTCAGGTAACATATGAAAAAATATCTGATAAAGTGTGAGGAAACACCCACCTGAATTTGAAAGTTACTTCCCTGATGGCAGGCAAAGGCCATTCTGGTTGCAACTGAAGGAATGACTGAGGCTGAGCAAATGTGAAAAGTTGACTAGACGAAATCTCTGATGAATGTTCAGAGGATGATGTTGCAATGAATATTGAAAAGATGATAAGTATTTTAAACATGATGAATGGCCTGAATACTGCAAATAAAATTTTGCAAAAATTAGAAATTTTTTAAAGTAACAGAGTTAACAGCATTTTTTTATATGACATTTTAAAAAGAAATGTTTATATTAGTATTGTTCGTAGCTTATAATATAATTCTAGCAAAATAACTAATTTGATCTTTACTTGAAAAACAGATGAAACACTCTCACTTAATTTGGTTATTGTTAATTGGTAGTAGATTGGTTTGTCCCTCTTGACAATACAATTAATCTGCAGTCAATAACAATAGTTACATTTTCAGTACTTAAAATTTTTATTTTAATATTTAGAATTTTTTATGGTTAAAAATTCTTTTATAAATAGATTTTAAATAATTTTTACTACAATAGAAAACTAAATACTTTTAAATACTGACTAAATATTACTTAAAATACTTTCCCCCCCCCAATCATGCTTTAATAAATTTTCTTTTCCTTGGAGCTGACAATGAAAACCTTTTCTAATAATAAAATTATTGATATAATAAAATATATATATACTTTCATATCAAGAACTGTATAATATATTATATTTTCTTATCATTTCCCACAACTATATAATGCCTTATCTATATTAAATTACTGTTTGATAACATTTTATGAAAACATTTCTATTTACACTGCAGATTTTAAATAAATCTTTTATTAGAGTATTTCCTTCATAACAAATTATGAGATTTATGTATGCCATATCAGAAATTCATGTATTTTTCCCAAAAATAAATTTCATATTCATTTTTAATTTTTAATGCATCTAAATTAAATACTGCAAGAATTTGTCTTTTTCCATGTTAGTTTTTTATCATGACTTTCCTTTATTCTTAACTGATAGTAATAACTTTAATGGTAACAACTGTTAAAAAGCATGCTATGTTATATCAATTATCTGTACATGTTCTACACATATTTACATGCTCATTCTTGTTCCATTTGGTTTGCAATGGAAGTTTCCACGCAGTTTCTTAACTTTTCTACTCACTAACTTTTTTTAACAACAAATTTGTGGGATATGGCTAGTAACCAAATGGAAATGTAAATGCAATAAAATTATGCACTGCTGGGCGGGGGGGGGGGGTTGCCGTCAAAGTGATAAGGAAGAAGAACTAGCAGAAAATTGTTTTCAGAGAAACCTGCTCACATTTATGATAAACTGTGCCATTTATGGTTGGTGGAAGAAGTTAAAAACAAAAATTAGCTATGTCACATAAAACTATGAGAGCCAACAACAATTAATTATCTCTGTGAGCTACACTTGATCAAAATGGAAGATGAATGGGGAAGATGGAATTAAATGAGTCATTTAAATTTAATAACATTTTTATTCCACTATATGAAAACTGTCGATCATTAGCATATGGGAATTAAAAATTAGACAAAAATATCATGGACATGTATGCATGTTATGATCATTCATTCATTTTGTTTTCTATTTTTGTTTCTCAAAATTTTACTTTTGAATTAATTTGCATTCAATCATCAGATAAATTTCTTAAAACATGCATCCCATTAAATCTTATCTATCGAATATGCTCAATTAGTTTTAACAATGAATTAATATAATTTCAGAAGCTGTTACACTAGTAAATATTTTGAAAACTAAAAACTGTTCCGGAAAAAAAAAAATGTATTAAAATAATAAGAACTCCTTATTAAAAAAAATCTGCTTTTAATTTAACCCTCCGAAAAAAATCCTATTTACAAAAAATAAATAAAAAAAATTTTTTTAATCACATTTTTTTTTCTATATGTCAAAAAGAATTTCTATAAACACTACAGTCTGCATCAAATTTTATCATAAAATATATTACTCCATTTAAGGACCTGAAAATCAAGTATAAATATTAAGCTGTCAGGTAAAATGTTTTATAAAATGCTTAATCCTTTTTCTTATTATGAAAATACTGCTATAAGTTTTGTGCATTATTAACATTAATCAAATTATGAATATTTTCAATAAATATATCTGAAAATCATTTCTCAGAGCTTATCGAAACTTTTAAAATTCATTTATAATAATTTCTATGTTAATTACTAATTTATTTAGTAATTTTAAATCCCACAGATAATATATGGTGGCACTGCGGCATTAGAAATACTTCGGAAATATTTCTTAGTAATATATTCAATAATTACATTATCTTTGTCCATTCCAAAAATAGAAACTTTTGATGTGTGAAAAAACATGAATTTTAATTTTTCTTGTACACGCCAACGTGTTTTTAAAAGTGTACGACAAAATACTTTTTAAGATCACAACAATCAGCAACTTCCCAAAAATACTCAAGTCAATATTTAGGAATTTTTTAATTATATTCAAACTGATACAAAACAAAAATCCAGCGTGTTCTTTTTACTTTATAATAATATTTAAAAAATTCAACTTAAAGTGGGAGAATTTAAATAATTTCTTTCATAAATAGAAACTTCTTTCTTCATTTCACAAGCAACGAAATTTTAAATATACGCGGCTTAAAGCTGCCCCAAAATGCGCATGCTCCACTAGAAAAAAAACTAAATTTCAACACTTTTATGATATTTACTCCTTCTTTCTCCAATAAAGCAGTGCCTTACCTAAAAAAAGACTGCTCGTTTTCCATGCTGTTAGTCCAAACTAGCCCACACAACGTTGATAAAAACTGATAATGGCAGCTCAAACATCCTGCATGATGTGAGAGATGAAACGGAAAACTTATTACAAACCTTGTTTATACCGATTCTTCCGACGCGGAAATCGCATTGGATAAAAAATTCCCTTTTTATTCTGCAATCGGATAGTTGTAAAAAGGATTAAACAAACGAGTGCATGCATATTTAATTTATTAGACACATCTCTATCATGATATATATCATGAAGGAGAAACTAATATAAAGAAAAAGGTTTTACGTTAACCGTTCAGGATTTTACGTTACGAACGTTAACATTTATGACTGTAAAATACCCCACTTTTGTTTTATTTCGCGCCTGACTATTAAAATGCTTAATTTGTCAACAGTTATACTTTTTACAGGATCAGGCTTCGGCCTTCTCCCAAGTTACCATATTTTCCATATTAGCCAGTAGCCACAAAAAAAAAAAAAAAAAAAAAAAAAAAAATATCTGAAATGTTTTCAGATTTTATATTACTCCCAAAGGGGGCATTTTTAACATTTTGTGTGTTTACCACCTTTACTCATTAAACCGCTATCCTATTCTACGCACTTAAACCATAAGAATTCTAGTTCAACAGTAATATCTTAAAATAGTTTAAAACGAGCATATCCTTTAGAATTTCCGATACGCGGTCTCACGCGCTGGAGATAAAAATGTTTTTTCTGTACCAGTACAAAGTTGCCATTGCTCGCTTTGAAATCCTTGAGTTTGTTAATCAAAAATTCGTTTTAAAGTTTTAAAAAATATGAAATCGATATAAAATAAACAAATTTCCAAATTTCCAATTTGGGCTTCCAGATGCTTACATATTCGAAAGGATAGGATTACGTTATTCAAAATTTGACGATGGCTCTATCCGTCCGGTACCGTTGTTTTATTCACAATTCGAGAAATAATACATACATTTATGCAGATTTTTCATTATTTAATTTCTTCAAATATAATATGCAGGGCTCTAAATATTTGGAGGCAACAGTTTGAAAAAGTGAAAACGGACATTCAGAGTGATTCGACGTAAAATGCGCAAACGAAAACTAATAGTCCTCCGGGATTCAAATCCCTTTGGACTAAAAAGAAAAAGATATGGATAATTACTGTACGTTGCTCTACACAGCATCGAGCACTTGCCCAGGAGTGGGTAATAAAGTAAAACAGGCAAGTTTAGAGACTAGTAAGTTTAAGCCTTTGTGGCCTAAAAACTAAAACCGGAAGTCTAATAAGTAAATGCGAAAATAAATAATAAAGGGTCCTTTTGTCATCTCGTTAAGTTAAACGGCATTTCTCTGTTAAGGAATTCATTTATACAATTTAATTGGTATATCCGTTAAATTACTTACATAATTATACATATTACACACATATTACATTCTCCCTTTATAGTACACATATTACATTCTCCCTTTGTTCCTAATGTAATAAAAAACAGATCAAGAACAAAGAGTCTAAAGTTGCTACAAATGAATTAATTTATGTCAAAGGATAATTGCCTTAACTGCTCTTTGCCACTAATGTAGAAATAGATCAAAAACACGGATACTAAAAACACATCTAGATTAGTTAATTTATGTCTAAGGATAACTGTCATCATAAAGATGTCTTTCTGGAGAACTTTCTTAGAGAAATTTCTTATCACAGGTCGAAATGATAAGACCTTTAAACACTAGTAGTTCGACCCGATTCGAATCCCGGAGAATTTGCTATTTGCTAAGCTTCTTGGTTATCCGCATGTGTAACATGAATATAAGTTAATTTCCTCTAGAAAGTCTTCTAAGGAAACATTCCTCAAATTAGCCATATTGCTCTCGTATAGTTCAAAATGAAGTAAGCGTGGCTTCATATTACACTTCATTGGCTTGCATTTGCATTACCTGCAGGCCAAATGACCAAAAACACCGTAGAACTAGCAAGTTTAGCTTCACGAATCAACTCAGCGATGAATAAGGATCAACATTTAACTCTTCAGCACCTGCAGACTCCTAAATCAGTTCTTTTCAAATTCCTGAAATGGCCATGTGACATACTTGAACTTTAACAACAGTCTGTTTAATGAAATGGTTACTTTCTAAGATTCCGTAAAATAAATTGGATGGACGAAAACGCTGTGTAACTGTAGATAAATGTTTGGCAAAAGCGTCCTTTTGCTTTAAAGCAGAGTTTCTTAAATTGTGAGTCGCGACCCCCTTGGGACCTGCAGCAGGAGGTCGCCAAAAACTTTAGCAGTTTTGATATTTCTTTAACTTATTATAATAATTTTACAATTAGACGAAATTGAAACAACAAATATCAATTGCTTGCAACGATAAGTATAAATGCTATTAAAAAAAGAGAGAAAGAAAACCACTCG